CCCTCTGAATAGGTGAGACAGTCAATTGGCTTGATCTGTTTGGGAGGCATCTAGGCAGTGGTACCAGGTCCTGGGCTTGTTGCATGAGTTAGCTGTTTGAAACCTGGGACTTATGCAGGGATGCTTGGCTCAATCTGGGAGGAGGGGATTGGACCTGCCTGGACTGAGTCTATCAAGTCGATCCCAGTCCTCAGGGGAGACCTTGATCTGGAGGAGGTGGGAATGGGAGGTGTGCTGGGGGGAAGGGAAGGGGGGTAGGAAGGGAGAGAACAAGGGAATTGGTGGCTATTATGTAGAACTGAATAGTATTATAAAATGAATTAAAAAAAAAAGATATCAGAGCACAAATATAAGGACATGTTAAAACACATTAAAAGGACATGTTAAAAAAAAAGATGTAAGAACTATATAGCTAGAAGCACCTGAGCCATTAGGCCAAACAATTTAAATAATATAAGCATCTGTGTGTTTATTTTATAAGTGGGCTGTCGACTGCCAGGACTCGGCAGGACCCAGAGAGAAAACTCTCCAGCTACATACAGTCAATTGGGTTCCCAATCCACACTAAATCTATAGGTCTTCAGGAGACCTGTCAGAATTACACTCAGGAGATACCATAGAATCCTGAGTGAGGACCCAGATGTTCATGGAAAAGTATAAAATGGAATGGAGACAGGGAAGATAATGAAAAAAGATGACCATAAAGATATAACAAATGTTAGGTAAAAAGCAAGAGACAAGATGCTAGGGTGGGATGATACATTTCTGTCTACCTTATTTTGAATCTGTGAATGTCAACACATCAATGAAGAGATGAAAGAGACCCATGAGAAGATGGCAGTAAAAGCTGATTTTAGCATTCTACTTAATTTATAGATATTAGGATTATGATGCAATAAACATAAATGCTACCTGTGACATTTAAAAAAGAGGAAAAATTTACAAACATCCAAAAAGCTGGGGTAGAGACTTTCAGACAGCAGACATGTTGCCAATACCTTGTTCTCTCTGGTAAGCACTGACCATCTCAGTATAGTTTTTTAGGACTGGTGGCTGTCCATCATGCTCCACCTGGCAGGTGAGTACCAGGTCCTCCTTATAGGCACATCTGTTCACCATGAGACAACTGGTCCAGTTGTATGTTCCATCCTTGTTGACTCTGAATGTAGAAGGCTCGTCTATCCGGGATACTTTTCCCTTCTCTAACCATGTCAACCAAAGGTTCAAAGGGTAGAACTTATGCACCTGGCAGGTGACGTTTATCAAATTCCATAGCATTGATGGTTGTTGCCTGATCTCCACAGTGGGTGAAACTGAAACAGCAGAAGCAGAAGCTAAGACTTCAGAGCCTAAGCACAGAAAGACCCCAGAGGAGAGGTTGAAGTATGGAAGAACCAGCCCTGTTCCAAGATTGACGTGGAAATAGGATGATTATTTGTGCCAGAGTAGAACCCCCAAATACAGCTCCTAACACATAGATGCACAGGGTGAGTGTCATAATAAGTGAAATCAATAAGCACAACTCCCAGGTGCAATGGGAAGGCAATAACAACAGTAAAATGCATGAAAATACCAGGGGCATGGTTCATAATCAGTACAGCTATAATTTTTTCTGTTAAAATAAATACAGTTTCCTTTATTGCTGACCATAGTCTATTATTCCCAACCCCATATGGTATGCATGAATGCTTGCTGGGAACTATGGACCAAACCATTCTGAACAGCTATGAGCTTGAGCTGGGATTCAGTGTCATTTACCTCTGATGGTGTCAGACAAGTTGGCAGTCCCATGGAGAGGGCCTCCTTGCAAGGTGACATGGGACACCTCACAGATGATCTGAGAGTGGACATCTCGAGGGCTCAGCACCACCTGGGCTGTGCTGGAGAGATTGTAGGAGACGCTTTCTCCTTTGGGCTCCACAGTAGTTTGCAAGCGAGGGAGCTCATTTCCATCTTTGAACTGCTTAAGTGTGATGGTCTGAGGAGAGAAGCCATAGGACTTGCATGTGAAGTTCACTGTTTGCTCAGGAGTAACTCTGACTGCAGGGCCCATTACCACAGGAAGAGAAGGTTTAGCTACAAGGGAGCATGTAGATAAGGATGTGATTGTGATGCCACCACTGTTGACATAACATTGTGAGGGATCTTCATAGATACTATCCCCCTTGTCATTGTTTATTGTGGTGCTTGGGATCAATATCAGAGCTTCAGCAATGCTAAGGACCTGCTCTACTCCAAAGTGGTAGCTGGTCCCAACCACAGACATTGGCTGTTTATTCTGCTCAAGGTTTTTTTGTTTTTGTTTTTGTTTTTTAATTTATTATGTATAGTGTTCTGCCTGCATGTATGTCTGCAGGCCAGAATAGAGCACCAGATCTCATTATAGATGGTTGTGAGCCACCATGTGGTTGCTGGGAATTGAACTCAGGACCTCTGGAAGCGCAGTCAGTGCTCTTAACCTCTGAGCCATCTCTCCAGCCCCAAGGTTTTTTTTTTTTTTATGGGTGTGGTTGGCAAGGTTTGTACTGGGCCTTCTGGAGTATCCCTTATTCTTTTGTATCCAGATTTCAGCAAAGATCCCCAGCAGTAAATGAGGGAGGGGAAGGCCAGGAAGAATTCTCAGCCTGGGCAAAGGAAGGCAATTATCAATGTATTTTATATTTTCTATCATCTTCTCCTGATGGCTTCTTCTGGAAACCCAGCAAATCTAGGGAAAATATTTGCAGATTTACATCTATAGTAACCCAGGAAATAAATGACGTCACAGAGGTACCACAAAGCTGGAGCCCTTCCTGCTTCCCCAGTTGCTTGCTTTCTTTTGGACCAACATGCTAGTATGTCTCATCTGTGCCAAGCCTGAATTTAACACTGATAGCTCACTAGTCTGCATCTCTAAATGGGCTTCAGGTAAACTTAACTTGAGGTTGAAAACAGTGCTTACCTCCTGCAGAAGAAGCTAAAGGTGGTTAGTTCATTTCCTAATGGTTAATCATAAGAGACACAGGTGTGAGCCTGTTGAGCAGACAGTAACAGTCCCTGGTTGTAATCACACATATGGGTGGGCTAGTAGGAAGAAGGCAGTGTGTCTGTAAATGACTTATGCTAATGTTATTATGTGTAACAGGCTGCATTTGGCAATACCATACACATTTGTATTTGTACATATGTGAGTCCTTCTCAAACATCTATCAAACCTGGAGTGTAACCAAGTGTTACCTGAAGTTAAGCTACCTAGATGGAGCATTACTGTTATCCCTACAGGTTTGAGGGATCAGAAGTTTCTGGTCATTTTGATATTGCCCAGTTTTCAGTGACCAAACCTTTAGTGGGATTAATATCAGAGTGTATGTGGGTGGACAAGTTACAGAGACCAAAAGAAAAAGCTCATCTTAACCCCAAGAGGTGATTAATTTGAATCTTATTCTCTATCTAATGAGCATCAATGTCTCCTTTCATAAAAACTAAATAAAAACATCACCATAGTAAGATGAAAATGAAGGTAGAATCCCATGCCTATGTATGAGCTTATAAATCCCCTATATCACTGCAGTTGTTACTATATGTGAGATCATATATTTATTCTTTACCACTATTAGCTGCAGGAAAATCCATAAATGTGCAATATGGCATGTCTCTAGATTGTTCCTCCCCCTACTCTGAAAAACCTATAAAAAGCAGAGCCTCTACCAGTGGCTCTCAACCTTCCTAATGCTTAGACCATTTTAATACAGTTCCTCACATGGCGGTGACCTCCAACCATAAAATTATTTCTGTGGCTGCCTCATAAGTGTAATTTTGTTACTGTTTAAATCATAACTGATATGAGACCTCTGTGAAAGTGTTCAACCAGCAGAGGGGTCACTACCCACCAGGTGAGGAACACCTTTATTCCCTGCCATTCTCCTCTTTTTAGTGATCTTCTCACTAAGCTGGTGAATAGCTGTTACAGTACAATCAGGACCACAAGCTCTTCCTCCAGATGGGTTAATTCAGAAGATTGAAGGACAGAGCTCAGTGACATACTGTCATTAAGGTGGAGTTCTGAGTGAAAGTGAGAAATGTCTGGCCTCAGAAATCATTCTCCTGCAGTCCTGTACAATGTAGGGAAGTTGTGCCCTGAGACTGAAGTTGACAGGGCTCTGCTTTGATGGGATCTTAGGGACCCTGGGTCACCTCTCTGAGAAATGTCACTGGCACGTTACTTGGGCTTTAGGATATTGTGTGCAGCAGGCTGTGCCCTGCTACTGTGAAGCATAACGGGTTGTCATGGCTCAGCTTGGTGGCCAAAGAGCTCTATTAAGGGAATAATCACAAATGTCTCCTGTTGTTTCTGAAAATGTATCTCAATGGATTTTAAACCCAAGCTGTGTATTAGCACGTTCTGAAGACATATGATATTTCAGATGCCAAAACCCATATCAGACCAATTAGAGGAACATGGATGGATCTGGGACTTCTCTCAGTTTCCCAAGTTATTCCAAGGAGAAAAGAGAAGCCAGCTTGAGTGCCACCAACCCTCACCTCCACTTAACTGATAACTAAATCCTGGAGAGGGAAAGTGAAAATCCACACAAGATGAAGTATTTCCTACATGTCAGTAGTTTCTCTAAGTGTGTTTAATAAGTCTATATACTGTGCTGGCAGGGAGTGGGTATCACGTGAGGACGCTGTGCGGTGCCAGGATAAAGCCACTCCTCTTGTCTCTCTGTTGAGGGGTTCTTGCTATACCACCTCAAGGTAGGAAAATGGTAACATACTTATAACTAATTCACCCTCAAAAGTAGCAGGCCTCCTCCAGAAGGCATGTGTTGTGGAATATCAGTTTAAGATGTGTTACATTCAACTATGTTGTGGAATATTTGTTTAATAATGCAAAAATGTGTTACATTCTTTTATGCTGCATTTGTTTAACACTGTGAAGCTGTATTACTTTGTCTGTCTAAAACATAGAAGTATTCTAATAAAGAGCTGAATGGCCAATAACTAGGCAGGATAAATAGGTAGGGCTAGAGAGAATAAGAAGGAGAAATCTAGGCTAAAGAAAAGGGGAGGACAGATGCAGAGATCCACAACCAAGCACCAGTCCAAGCTCCAGGAGTCCAGTTGAAAAGACAGAAGAGGAATTATGAGCAAGAGGCATCAAGATCATGATGGGGAAACATACAGAGACAACCAAACCAAACTAGGGGGGACTCATGAACTTTATACCAACAGCTGTAGAGCCTCCATGGGACTGGTCTAGGCCCCCTGCATAGGTGAGACAGTTGTTTAGCTTGACCTGCATAAGGGGCCCCTTGGCAGTGGGATCACGATCTCTCCCTGGTGCGTGAGTGGGCATTGTGGAGCCCAGTGCCTATGGTGGGACACCTTGCACAGCCTTGGTGCAGGGAGGGGGGACTTGGATCTGTCTCATCTGAATGTACTAGGCTCTGCTGACTCCCCATGGGAGACCTTGCCTTGGAGGAGGTGGAATTGGGAGATGGATTAGGGGGCGAGGCTGGGGGCAGGAGGAGAGAGGAGAAGAGGATCTGTGGTTGGTATGCAAAATGAATAGAAAATTTCTTAATAATAAAAAAAGAAAAAAACCATCAAGGGACTGGAAAAGGCAACTTGAATACAAGGAGTTAATATTTTACATTTCAGACAATTCAAGTGAAAAACGGGCATAGAATAGGAACACATAATTTTAAGAATTATATTATATATATGTACATATAAAAACATGAAACATATGAAAATGTTTTCTAATGACTAGTTGATTAAAACTATGATAATGTTTTCATCACTCAGAATGGAAAAAACAAACAGATTGAAACTGTGACCCATAAAATTTCTGGGTGTATAAGCTGCTAAATTTGTACTGTGGAATAATCAGCAGTATCTGTGAAAGACTGAAAAGTGTAAAATTTCACAGTTGAGCAATGTCATTGTGTGTGTGTGTGTGTGTGTGTGTGTGTGTGTGATGCATGGTGTGTACACATTTGTGTGTGGGAGGGTGCACATGTCCATGGAGGACATTGGTTGTCTACCTTTATCTCTGTCTGTCTTGTTTTAAGATCTTTCACCTTACCAGGAGCTCACTTTTCAGTGAGGCGATTGCTGACATGCTTTGGAGATCCTCTTGTCTCTATCCCAACACTGGTGTATGGCCACACCAGGCTTTTTATCTGGGTTCTGAGTATCTGAGTCCAAGTCCTCATACTTGCCCAGGAAGGACTCACACCCACTGTACCATCTCTCCTCTGCAATCTCACTTTGAAAAACAGACTAAAGGAATAGTGTACAGTTGATATTTGAATATGGTAAGTTCTATATCGTTCTCAATAGAGACAGGAAATAAGAGAACAGGGGTGACTTCAAGTTCCAGTATGAGAAGATGTTAAATAACTGAAGATACAATAATATGGTGGAATATAATTGTGGATAAATGAAGATACATACTATAGTGGACCCAAATGTAAATGCTTCTGACCACTGAGCAGCTGTGAACATGAAGAGAGTCCACCACACCAATAGAAGCCAAGAAGTTGGCCACCAAATAGAATTCAAATTCAATCATAGGCAGAACATTTTTTTCAGGAGGCCTCCAGACTGCAATACTTCATACAAAATTAAAGGTACTGACCTAGAAGAACAGCCACAAAGGCAGTTAAAGGGAACAAATAAATTTGCAGTGCCAAGAAATGTCACCTGCCTAATAGCTTCAGATACATAAGACTGCTTATAAATACAGAAGAGCAGGGTTGACATGTTTGTGCTCCTCTGCAGCAAAGTGGGTGATAGCTTGGGAGCTCTCACAAAGGCATGTTTCTTCACAAGTTGTTATTCTGGGGGAATTTTTGCTTTTTGTGGGGATTTGTTGTTGTTGTTGTTGTTGTTGTGGTGGTGGTGGTGGTGGTGGTGGTGGTGGTGGTGGTGGTGGTTTTTGAAATAAAACTTTAAGCAAAGCAAAATTATTCTAGCAGTTCACAGCTAAAATGCCACAAAAAAGACTATCTTCCTTGAGTGTCATAAGTTTGATTTTATTTAATTTGGGACATATCATATGTTTAGCCAATTATGAAATAAGTATGGTTTTTCTATGAGAAAGCATTGTCATTGGAATGTAGAATTAGCATACACATTTAAACACTGGTTTGTGCCAAATAAAGACATTAGAATGAGAAGTTTAAAAAAAAGAAAAAGAAAATGGGAAGAACAAGAAAAGGAGAAGAGGGAGATGCCAGGGTCCAGCCAAATAGCCAGCCATGGAGCTGAATTGGTATGTCTCTCGTTGCTGGACTACTACTAGTTGCTTTGTTTACACAGGGGAATAGTTCTCAGTTCTAATATGGAGTGAGGGCATAAAAAACTGACATGTGGACCAATGGGACCAAATTGAAGACCCTGATGTTAATCCACACACCTATGAACACCTGATTTTTGACAAAGAAGCCAAAACTGTACAGTGGAAAAAAGAAAGCTTCTTCAACAAATGGTGCTGGCATAACTGGATGTCAACATGTAGAAGGCTGCAAATAGATCCATATCTGTCACTGTGCACAAAACTCAAGTCCAAGTGGATCAAAATGGATGAGAAAAGATCTTCACCAACCCCACATCTGACAGAAGACTGATCTCCAAAATATATAAAGAATTCAAGAAACTAGACATCAAAATACCATTAAAAAATGGGCTACAGAGCTAAACAGAGAATTCTCAACAGAAGAATCTCAAATGGCCAAATGACATTTAAGGAATTGCTCAGCATCCTTAGTCATCAGGGAAATGCAAAAATCAAAACTACTCTGAGATACTATGTTACACCTGTCAGAATGGCTAAAATCAAAAACACTGATAACAGCTTATGTTGCAGAGGATGTGGAGCAAAGAGAACACTCCTCTGCAGTTGGTGGGAGTGCAAACTCGTACAGTCACTTTGAAAATCAGTATGGCAGTTTATCAGAAAATTGGGAACCAATCTTCCTCAAGATCCAGTTCTACCACTCTTGGGCATATGCCCAAGAGCTGCTCAATCATACCATAAGGACATATGCTCAACTATGTTCATAGCAGCATTATTCATAATAGCAAGAACCTGGAAACACCTAGATGCCCCTCAACCAAAGAATAGATAATGAAAATGTGGTATATACACAATATGTAAAAAAATAGTAAAAAAAAAAATCATGAAATTTGCAGGCAAATGGATGGACCCAGAAAATATCATGAGTGAGGTAACCCAGACTCAGAAAAACCAACATGGTTTGTAACTCATTCATAAGTGGATACTAGATGTAAAACAAAGGATAACCAAACTACAACCCACAGCTCCAAAGAAGCTAGCTAACAAGAGGGATGCATGAATCACCCTGGGAAGGAAAAATAGATGAGATCTCTATGAGTAAACTGGGGATGAGGAGAACAATGGAGGATAGGGCATGGGGGATGAGAACATAAGGGAACAGAATAGTTAAGCTGGAACAGGGATGGAATGGGAGAGCAATGAAAGAGATACCACAGTAGAGGGAGACATCATAGGAATAGGGAGAAACTGGGTGCCAGGAAAGTTCCCAGGAATCCACAAAGACAATCTTAGGTTAGAGTACTAGCAATAGCCGTGAGGGTACCTGTACTGGCCTATCTTGATAATCAGATTAGTGAATACCGCAACTGTCACCATAGAGCCTTCATCCAGTAACTGATGGAAGCAGATGCAGAGATCCACAGCCAAGCACCAGGCTGACTTCCAGGAGTCTAGTCAAAGAGACATAAGAGGGATTCTATGAGCAAGGGGCATCAAGATCATGTTGGGAAAACATACAGAGACAACCAAACCAAACTAGTGGGAACTCATGAACTTTAGACCAACAGCTATGGAGCCTCCATGGAACTGGACTAGGCTCTCTGCATAAGCAAGACAGTTGTGTAGCTTGATCTGCTTAAGGAGCCCCTGGCAGTAGGATCAGAATCCACCCATGATGCATGAGCTGGCTTTTTGAAACCCACTATGTATGGTGGGACACCTTGCACAGCCTTGTTGCAGGGGGAGGGGCTTGGGCCTGCCTCAACTGAATGTACCAGGCTGTGCTGACTCCCCATGGGAGGCCTTACCTTGTTGGAGAGCAGAATGGGGAGGTAGACTGGGGGCAGGGGAGAAGGCTGGAGGGGCAGGAAGAGGGAGGAGAGGGGGATCTGTGGTTGGTATGTAAAATGAATAAAAAATTCCTTAATAAAAAATAAATGAAATAAAATGAAGTGATAGAAAAACTAAGTGAAAAAAAGAGCTGAATGGCCAATAGCTGGGCAGGAGAGAGAAATAGGTGGGGCTAGCAGGCAGAGAGAATAAATAGGAGGAGAAATCTAGGTTGAAGAGAAGGGGAGGAAAGAGAAAAGAGAAAAAGAAGATGCCAGGGTCCAGCCACACAGCCACATAGTCGGTTCACAGAAGTTCAAAGTGAATGTCCTGATGCCTATGCTGATGATTGGAGATCATCTACATGGAGACTAATTTCAGTACTTATTTATGCATACATTGCCCAGAACCTTTAGTTCCTGTGCAAGTAGGAAAGAAAATGACTCCAGACAGATCCAAGACAGAGGTCTAAACCAAGGATGAGAGATTCCACAGTGAATGTGGGCGAATACCAAAGGATCTCAGTGTGCTGTGGATGAAGAGAAAATGAGAAAAGCACACTGTGCCCTGGCCGTGTCACTTTCTGCATTGATGTGCTTTTCCTCTTGTGGGGAGGAGACACACATCTTTGGTAAAGAGCTTCTGCTAGGCTCCTTCTTGCCATCTCATTTGACATCTAGAGTATAACCTGGCATACATTAGGCCCCAGGTTGTTAGGGTAGAAAGAGAAGACTTAAATGGGTGAGGTAATACAATCCGGAGGCAATAGGCCAGATTTGTCCCTGTCACTGAACATAGCTAGCATCAGCTATCTTTATGTAGCCACTAGACTGAGACAGATTGAAAAAGATAAGTATTGTGAGGCAGACAAGGGTATGGATATATGCTTATTTATCACACATGGCACCTCTAGCAAATAGCATGTCCTCTTCTCTCCTCTGCTTCCATGGTCTACAGTTGGGGTAAAGTCATGCTATGAACATGAGGGTCACTTACAGGCTTGCTTCTTCCTTGTTGCTAACAGAATCTTGAACACATTTTGACATATTGGAGATATGAGGGATGAGGAGGACAAAGCGGTACTTACCAAGCACATAGAGCACTGTGCCTCCCCCAGACTGAAGCTCCTTGTCTGTGGGAGCCCATTCTGGGGTTCCTCGTGGCTTTACCCAGGAGGTCCAGGTCCAAATAGAGGATGATCAGGACCACGGGCCTAAGTGCAGGTGTCTGAGATGGCCTGCACTTGACTGTGCTGGGGGAGGAGGTCTTTTGCTCCACCCCTTGGCGTCTCTATAAAAACCCTGGACCAGAGACAGTCCGGGCCCGTTGGAATAGGTTCCAGGCCCT